TTCACCCCTTAGCCATAAGGCTCTCTGGGCAGCTTACATTACATTATACATCAACAGATAAAACTATCCAATTTAAACAATACATTCAAAACAATACATAATAAAACTGATAAAAAACAAATAAAAAGAGGGCAATAGAATTTAAGCATTCAGTTAATAAAACCATTTCAAACAATTGTGTTATATACGATTTGAATAAAATCGTAAATGAAATAAAATTGTCTGGCAACTAACATTCTTAACATGATAGTAGCAACAATAAAACCAATGAGGAAACAATTAAAACCAAATCACCAAAATAGTTACAGAAACGCAAGGTTTTCAATTGGCATCTAAAAAAGACGAGAGAAAATGCCTGGCAGATCTCTATCAGAAGTGAATTCTACAAGCAATGTGCTATTGCAGAAAAGGCCCACCTCGTAGCCATCCCCTTCACTGGGGGGACAGATTTGGAGAGGGATCTCTGACAAAGATCTCAGTGATTAGGCTGGGGCATAATGGAGATAGGTGTTCCCTCAGATATCCTGGCCACAAGCTGTTTATGGCTTTGTATGTTATTGGGCCTGGATGGTAACTGGCAGCCAATGTAACCTGCAAAGGACTGGGTGATGTGTTTACAAAAGCCAGTCCTCATTGCAGGTATGCCACCTGATTTTGGACAAGTTGCAGTGTCTGGACCGTTTTCAAAGGGAGCTCCACATACTGCACATTACAGTAATCCAGGTGCAAGGTTGCCAGTATGTGGATAACGGTAGCAAAGCTCTGCTCATCCAAGTAAAGACACAGCTGATAAACCAGCCTAAACTGGTAAAAGGCAGAACCCAGAAGCACTCCAAGGTTGGGAACCTTGTCCTTTTGGGGAGGGCAACCTCATCCAGTACAGGTTGAAAACTTTGCAGCGGATGGATGGATTTCCTGCTAACAGTGTCTCCATCTTGTCTGGACTGAGCGTCAGCTTGTTGGCCCGCATCCAGTCCATTACCACGCCCAGGCACTGGTTAAGAATGGTTACTGGCTCACTTGGATTAGATGAAAATGAGCTGGGTTTCATTGGCATACTGATGACACTTCAGCCCAAACCTCTGAATGACCTCTCCCAGAGGTTTTATGTAGGTGTTGAAAAGCATGGGGGACAGAATAGAGCCCCGCAGAACTCCATGACACACAGGACTTGCCACAGAGCAATAGTCCCAGCAACACCATCTGGAAATGGTTGGCCAGATAGGAGCAGAACCACTGCTCAACTCCCAAACTGGCCAACCTCCTCAGAAGGATACCATGGTCAATGGTACCGGAAGTCACTGAGAGGTCCAGGAGAATCAACAGGTCATGCTGTCCAAATCTCAAGAGGAAGTGATCCGACCATGACAAAGGGCTAGGTGCAACACAACCCCCCCCCCACACATTTTCAGATCACCACCTTCTTGCCCAGTTGAGAAAATCAGGTCCAAATATGACCTTTATATGCATTGGGCCCATGACAATGTTGAAACAGCCCCATGGTTGTCATGGCTCCCATGAAGTTCTGAGCTGCCCTGGACAAGGTGGCCTCAGCATGCAAGCTGAGCTCCCCATTAAGCAGCAGCACCACAAGTCTTGAGGGCAGACTGGCACAGTTGCCAGAAATCATGCAGCTGTGGACAGGAACAAGGTATCTGTCCCCTCTTCTCATACACTAGCCTGTCCATCCCACAACACCATATCTCCCCCTATCTGAAATCACTGGAACTGGAGCACCCACAAAAAACACAGTATGTATATAAATAGAGCTACTTGCACACAGAATATTAGCATGATAGCAAACCAGGCAGAAAAAAATGTCTTTTCTCTATTTCCTATCTCCAACCATCTAACCTTCTCTTCCCATTGCACCCCTATACCTCAAGACTTTACACTCCTACTCCAGAATCCACTACCTTCTTACCTTCCTTATACCTCTCCCTACTTACCTGTCCAGCATCGAACTTACTTTTTTCTCATCTACTTCATACCATTTCTCCTTTCAAACTTCCTCTGTCCTTCTCCAACATTCCTCACTTCCTACTACTTAAGAAATACCTTCTATCCTTAGTATCACCCCTCCACCATAAAAACCTACCTCTGAGTGGCCATCAAATAGTTGCCAGATGGGCGATGCTCTGAGGCCGAGTGACTGAAACAGAGGTCTGTGCCCCTCCATGCCGCAAGATGGCAGGGGTGGCCATGACCCTGCCAGTTCCAGCTGAGTCCTCTCACCACTTGGCCAGCAGGTGATAGAAGGCAGAGCAGAAGCAGTAGCAACGGCAGTGACATCTCTCAAGGTGTCATGGGGGCCTGCCAGGTCCATGTTCTAGCAGCGGGGGAAGGCTGGTGTCGTAGGCACAGATATAGCTATTGTGTTTCAATTTGAAAAGTTTTTGTTCTTCCACTTACTTTAAATTGATTTATGGAATGATACAGAATTAATTTTGCAGTTTTCCATAACAGTTTCATTGTAATAGTTTCATATTGGATTCTTGTGCAGCTGGCACAAGCCACCTTTGAAATATACCACAGTAGACAGAACATTCATTTTATTTACATCTAACAATAAGGCACCAGCACACCTCTACTAACTAGGGCTGCAACTCTATACATGCAGACCTGGGCATAAACCACATTAAACTGAGTTATCTATGATTGCTCCATGGCATGTTCCCACTGAAGAAATTTTCCTCTAAGACCTAGAACTCCTGGGGACAGACAGCACCAAGCAGCCACCTGTGTCAGGAGATCTGGAGCTGTATGGGCCCCCAGGGGAGATCATGGCTAGGGAGTTCTGCCTCTGAGATAGAGGCTGGACAGCTGCCCATTCCTGAGAACATTATTACCTCAAGTGAAGAGACAGGCCAGCAGCGCTCCTTTGAGGAGGTGAGCTTGATGAAGAAGCACTTACCAAGAGGAAAGGACTCTTTAAAAGTAAGCTCTTCCTCCTAAGTAAAACTTTAGCCAGAGCACTGTAATATACTGCAGCTGAGTGCCTAGATGGGCCTTAGGAAACTACCTGTATCTGAGCCTTCAGTTTCAGCTTTCCAGATACTGGAAAAACATCTTTCTGTCACATCTAGTGCTGTTGTCTTTGGCCTTGCTTGGTTTGTGATGGAACATCTTTGTTACCAAGCCTTGGACTCCTGCTTAACTCTGCATCTTGAATGGATGTTATATTTGACTGCTTCTGTGTGCTTTCACCTTAGCCTGTGTCTTGGCCATTTCTATGCTTTCTTGCCTTTCCTTTTGGATTGCTCTGTAATTTGCAGAGACTGATTCAGCAACAGCAGGGCCCACTATAAATCTAGTCTGTTTTACATTTTTCAAGCAAGAATTGTTACCAACTTAATCATTCTTACAGGTATATTCAGTGACATCTTAAGTTAAAGGATCACGTGACTGGAATGACCTATGCCTAAGGCTTTAGGGAACTGAGGGTGAATGATTTATTCCATCTCCTAATACACTCGTAGCATTTTGTCTCATTGTGATTTCTAAAAATTTGTAGCAAACGTGCATTTTGATCAAGCAAGTCTAAGTTGATGCTAAAAGCAGTTACACTGCAAGCGCAAAACTGAACAACTAAACAAAGAGGTAGCACATTGATGAACAAGAGGAAAAACAAAACCAGAGATCTCTCTGTTGTACAGTTCATTTCAGGCTTTGCACTGGTTGCAGTTACTGTCATTGTGCATTAGCCATTAAGGAAACTTCTGCCCAGATTATTTTGAGTGCAAAGCGCATTTCCTTGAAAATAGACACTAAGTGATTCAACGAAGCATACTTGTAAGGAAGGCTGCAGTCACAAAAATAGGATGCGCAAAGGCCTATATTACTAAATTGAAAAAATCCGTAGTGCACTACTTTTATTAGAGCAAAATGAGTAAGATCCCAAAGCAGTGTGCAAGCTTTTGAGTTCAGCAACAGATGTCAAGCAAATCAACTCAAGATGGCTGGAAGGAGACAGAAGATGCTTCTGGGCATCACCAAACATTATTTAGCACCAACTAGGGTTTCCATTATGGGTAGCAACATCTTCCCGCAAAGACTTGCACGGGCAAACCATTCCATGGAAAGGAAACCTCAGTTCAGCTCAAACGCTGGCACAAGACCATGTCCGGCTTTAAACTGATTAAGCTCTTGCTTTCTCTCCTGGGATGGAAGCCTAACTGTATTTACCTGTGCGTGAGTTCTGCTGGGAAAATGCCACCCGAGACATATTAGCCCTGCCAAATCCAATGGGACTCGAAATGTTTTCATGGTGCTTTTTACCCCGCTGAACAGAGCAACGGAGAGCTACGTCGGAGCAAGTGCGCACACGAGTGCCGTGTGAAACCCAGCAAGTGATTACGGCGCGAAAGCGGCGCGCATCACGCGTCAGCAAGCGGGGAAATCCGCGCGCCCCACGTGACCCCCGGCCAATCTTGCTCCTTCGCTTTCCCGCGCGGAAGCCGCCTTCCGAAGGCGGAGAGGGCTGCTCCTGAGGCCAATCTGCAGTCTAGCATGGCTCCGTTCCTCGTCGTGTGCGCGGCCACAGGCTTACGATGAGCACTCAAGGACACGGGGAAATTCTTATTCCCGTCAGAGTACGGCATGTTCCTTCGTCTTGCTAGGGGGAGGGCGGCTGGGGTCGGAGCTAGCCAGTCACAGACTCTTAGCCCAACCTACCTCACAGGGTTGTTGTAGTGGGGATAAGATGGAGGAAGAGAATGATGTGAGCTGCCTTGAGCCCTTTGTAGGAAAAAGGCAGGATATAAACTGAAAAATAAATTAAAAAAAAATATACACCCGGAAAGTCCACCACGCAGGCGAAGTGGAACCCGGAAGTGGTATCCGCACAGTCGGAGGGAGTCCCTCTAGCGCGTCCGGTACAGCTTGGCGCCTGCGCCGCAGCCTCTGGCGCATGCGCGGCCGGCCGTGCAGGGCGGGAGGCGGCAGGGTTTGAATAGCGCGCCGCGGATTGTCTCGCTTAGGCATCTTCTCGCTGAGTGCGGTGGAGAAATGCCACCTCCCGGGACGCTCCGGGTCCGCTCCGGGAACGAGCCCGCCGGACGAATGGAGCAGCAGCAGCCGCCCGCATGCCACTGGAAGGAGACTCGGGCCGCGTTGAGCCGGCTGGCGGAGAGCCTACGCTGCTCCCGATGGTAAACCTGGGTGGGGAACGGGAGGCTCTTGGAGGGGGCATCTTAGGGGGAGTTGAAATGCGGGGAGCCCTTCCCGCTTAAAACCTTAACTGGGGAGCACAGCAAAAAAAAAAAAAAAAAAAAAAAAAAAAAAAAAAAAAAAAACCTCAACAGCTCCCAGAGTGCCCCAGCTGTTGTGCCCCCAAACGTTGTTAAAATGATTCCTCCACCTAAGGACCGAATACTTATTTTTGTTCAACAGATGATATAGCAAAATCGGAAACTGACACGACCTCCACTACTTAAGCTAGAGCGGAATAAAGACAATGTGACTTAATAAATGTAATAAGAACGACCGAGCTCCTTGGGGAAGGGCTGTAGCCGGCTGTCTAAGCGCTTGCTTGGCATGCAAAAGGGCCCCGGCTCAGCTCCTGCCGCTGCACTGGAAATCGTGAACAATACAGCCCAGACAGGTGATTGTTCCCCAGACCAGGGAGCCATTCTGTTTACTGATTTCCAAACTAGTTCATGCATGCCTCTGTGCAACCACGTGCCAGCCAGTTAGGAAGTTCAGTACTGTGTAGTAACTAAGCCAAAGTATGTGCAATTGAAATAAACATATTCTTCATCTGCCTTCATTTCTGTGGCCCTGCATCCATTTAAATTTTAAGTCCCTTGGGGTAGGGACCTGTCAAACCTATTTTTTGTAAAGTACCATATTCCTAGGTTGGCTCCTGTTTTGAAAAAAAAAAAGACTAATAAGCCAGTTGAACAGAAGATGTGACTGACCTATCAGGCTAGGTCACCTAGAATTGCCTACTATGATTGGCAGCTCTCTGTGATGGAAATCAGAATTCCCCAAGCTGCTGAGATCTTTTTTTTGGAGATACTAAGAAATGAACCTTCTGTTCTTTGACCTTCTGCATTCAAAGCAGAATGCATTTATTTCATGAGATTTATGATTATATATATAATTGCAACGTATAGGGACTGCACATTGTTCTGCAGGTACTGAAAGGCCTAGTACCTACTTAATTTGTAATGGTAGGAAGTTCCACACAGTGGTTGCTATGGAACAGAAGACCTATTCTGAGCCATAATTGATTAGATCTCTAAAATCTGACAAAACAATAATAATACTAGAAAAAATATAATTAATAATAATGATTAAAATTATATCTGCTGCAGTTTTCATTAATACTAATGTATTAGAGCTGTTTTGATTCTGAGACATTGAACAGTAGTAACTATCACCTCTAATCCTTGACAGCAGAGGAATTCTGAAGAAACCTGTGAATGTAGGAGGCTGTGAACATGTTTTCTGCCTGTAAGTCATTACATATTAAGTTGTCATGTGGTTAACTACCCTGGGTGAGATTGATAGGAGCTGTAGTTCAACTAATGGGGGGAGGGCATCAGTTTGGGGAAACATTGTTTTGAATACTGTCGAATCACGGAATAGTAGAGTAGGAAGGGGCTATGAAGGCTACCAGGTCCAACCCCCTGCTTTTACGGGACAAGAAGTTACGCCATCCCACTCAGATGGCTGTCCAGTTTCTTTTTGAATATCTGTAGTGTGGGAGAACCCACCACCTTTCTAGGCAGCTGGTTCCATTGTTGTATTGCTCTGACAGTCAGGAAGCTTTTTCTGATATCCAGCCTGAATCTGGGTTGTCGCAACTTGACTTGATTATTCTGTGTCCTGCACTCTGGCATCAGCAAAAAGAGATCTTGACCTTCCTCTTTGTGACAGCGTTTGAGGTACTTATCGAGGGCTATCATGCCCCCCACAGTCTTCTCAAGGCTGAACATGCCCAGTTCTCTCAGTCTCTCCTCACAGGGAAGTGTTTTCAAATCTTGGATCATTTTCATAGCCCTCCTCTGGACCCTTTCTAATTTTCCTGCATCTTTCTTAAATCTTGGTGCCCAGAATTGGACACAGTATTCCAGATGAGGTCTGACTAGTGAGGAGTATAGAGGAACTACTACTACTTGTAACTTGGAAGTAATACTTCTGTTAATGCAGGGAAAGAACTTCATTTGCAATTTTGGCCTTGCATTGCATTGTTGGCTGATACAGTGGTACCTTGGCTCACAAACTTAATCCGTTCCAGGACTCTGGTTGTGACCCAAATTGGTTGTGAGCCAAGTTAAATTTCCCCATAAGGTTCAATGTAAATAAGGTTAATCCATTCTGTAACCATCTTTAAAATCAGACAAATGTGAAGCAAAGTGAAAACCACAATGATCGTGGCCATCTCCCCCGCACCCCAAGCACAAGCGCGGCCATCTCCCCGCCCCCCCTCAACACGACTGAGATTGCGCCCGTCATCCCAGTATGTGCCTGTCATCCTGGCGCGCTGAGGGGTGGGGGGGAGAGACGGGCATGATCGTGGGCGCACTGGGGGAGGAAGAGAAGGTGCAAATGGCATGCTGGGGGAGAGAGAGATGGCCGAGATTGCTCCCGTCTTTCCTGCAGAAGCGCGCCGCTGATCACGCATGCCTTCCCTGCACGAAAGCAACTGTGATCGTGGCCATTTCCCCACTCGGGGTGGGGGAAATGGCTGTGATCTTGGTTGCCGCCCAATGCGGAGTTTGTGACTCAAGTCAACATTTTTCAGAAATTTTTGTTCATGACCCTATTTGTTTGTGAAACAAGGCATTCGTGAGCCGAGGTACCACTGTATTTAGCCTGTTGTCCACAATCACTCCCAATATCTTTTTCAGTTCTGTTGAGCCATGTGTTCCCCATCTTGTATCGATGCCTTTGGTTTCTTTTTCCTAGGTGGACTTGGCATTTATTCCTATTGAATCTCGTTCTTTTGCTTTGAGCCCAGTGTTCCAAGTTTATTAAGATTACCCAGGCTCTTCGTTCTGTCTTCTAGGTATTTGCTATTCCACCCAGTTTGTATCATCTGCAAATTTGATTATCTTTCCTTGTACTTCCTCATCTAAATCAGTAATAAAAATGTTGAAGAGCCCTGGGCCCAGGACTGAACCCTGTGGCACCCCACTAGTTACCTCCATCCAATTTGAGAAGGTGCCATTGATGAGCACCTTCTTGTTTCAGTTGTGCTTCTCATCCATGATCTTGTCAGTCTCCTGTGGCTGTTTTTATTTATCTATTCATCTCGGGATGGCTCACAGTCAAAACATTAAAACAATAAAATTACATACATTAAAACAATCTAGCAGTAAAAGCAATAAAACATGACTATTACAATTAATACTATTTTTTAAAATATTGGTTAAACGAAAAGGTTTTAACCAGCCGCTGAAAAGAAAAGAGTATAAGCTCAGCGCCAGTATAAGCTTCTCCGGGGAGCACATTCCATAATCTGGGTGCCACTGCAGAGAAGGCCCTACTCCGAGTAGATGCCCTTTTTACCTCCTTCAGGAAGAGTTATCAGAGCAGGGCCTCCCTCGTTGATCACAGGGAGGGGCGTGGTGGCATATATGGAAGGAGACGTTCCTTCACGTATCCCGGTCCCAAGCCATTCAGGGCTTTATAGGTCAAAACCAGCACCTTGAATTGGGCCCGGACTTCAACTGGGAGCCAGTGTAGCTGGTAGAGGACTGGCATTATATGAGAATAATGACCGGTCCCTGTCAGCATCCTGGCTGCGCTGTTCTGTACCAGCTGAATGTATCCAGACCGTTTTCAAGGGCAGCCCCATGTAGAGTGCATTACAATTTTAAATGTTCTGTTTTTGTTTTAGCTATTGTTTATTATCTCACATCATTTGTAGTTTATTTTCAATTTTGTGAGCTGCCTTCTCTGCTTTTATAGCAGAAAAAACATTAATAATAATGGTAGTTTTTTAGTCCAGGAAGCAATCAACTTCCTCAGTATTTTTTTAAAGTATTTATAATGCAAAGCTTGACTAGGTGCAAGAATGAATGGCTTGAATATAGATTTTGGCCTCTTCAGTCACTGTAATGGTTTACTGCAGGCTATTAAAGAAGATTGTGATTGTCTATCCAGTTAGGCCTAACCAAAGTAATTAAAATATTCATGCTACACCTTTCCTGAGTTGCATGAAGATGTGCATCATTTTAATCAGGACAACTGCATCCAGTAACAACAAGTATTGACTATGTGGCAGAATGTGATTGTTTCTGCCCATCCCATGTAAAACCCTTTTAAATGAACACTGTAGTTTGGGAGGTGTTATCAAAAGAGATATTGGTAATATGTTTAGATTGATAGGTTTGGGACAACATGCTTCTTAAAGTGCAGGTGCAGTAAAGCTTACTTTCTGCCATAAGGCCTTTCCTATTATGACAGTAGAACCCATGTGAATGCTGTGAGAATAACTTATTTTAATTTGCTTTTCTTGTAAGTTTCAGCAAAACCAAAGAAAAAGGGAAATAAATATAAACGCAGCCATGTAGATTTGATTATTTCAGCTGTACATGAATTTCAATAATGGCAGACCAAATATCCATGTATACATTTACTCCAGAGTGGCATCTATATTCTGTCCACTCAAATGTTGAAAGCATCATTAAGTTCACATCCTTCCAGTGTTGAATTATTAGAAACATAAAAACAGAGCAAGTCAGAAGGGGTCTCCCGGGCCATCTAGTCTGACCTCCAGCTTCAGCCGGCTCCACTCATGACATGCCTACCATGTGCATGTCTAGCCTATCCTTGAACACCCTCACCAATGGGGCTTCAACCCCCCCACCCATGAAAGCCCATTCCATAGCCTTGGGGTCCTAGTAGCTGTTTAGGGTTAGGGTTACCTATTAATCTAGTAGCTGTTAAATAGATGCAGAAAATCCATTTATGTTGACCATGTATTAAACTTGCAGGAGGCAGGTAGATAATTTTAAAGACCCTATGCATCAATTAATACCAAAGAGTGTTCCAGCACAAAATTTAACTGTATTATATCCTCCTTCCAAAAAAAAGGTGGAGGGACATTGCCAAAACCTATTATTGAAGGAAGCATTAGCAATATTACACCTCAAGCATTTAGCCAACTTAGGCAAACTCTTATGTTTAAAAATGGTTTGAAATTGTTGTTAACTATCCAGAGAGTTTCAGTTATTATGTGGTATAAAAATAATAAAGTGATGCTGTGACATCCAGTAAGAATGAAACAAGAGTTTTAGTTGAATAAGACATAACTGGAGATCCACTAAAGCATCAGATAAAGACATTTAAGTGATAATCCATTGATTAGATCCTGTATATTATATTTATTCACCAATACTAAATATTAAACATGAATTGTGGGTCATTATGAGTGATAAGCCTGAATAGGTGTTGCCCTGAATAAGTGTTTCCAGTAACAGAAAAGGCCGTGGAGCTACAAAAGTAGCAAGGCAAACATAGATTTCAACAAATGTTTGCAAGTATTGCCATTCAGTCAATAGCAGACACATTGTATGCAATTCCAGAAATGACTAAATTCCTTGATCCAACTTCAACATCAACTTATGTAGCTGAATCCTTCACAGAAACAATTCCTCCAAATTTTTAAATCTGGATTTTGCTATGAAGTCAATTTAGCATATGAAAATAGATCAAAATGCAATTGACACAATGTTCTTTGTCACCCATTTATAACAGCTATAACAGTGTAAGGAGCCCCATCCATTTGAATATGCCAAGAGCCTAATGCTGTCCGTTTAGGAACTATAGAGGTGAAAACCCAGTCTAAGTGGGAAAGACCAAATTTTAGTGCAAGTCAGCAAATAGGCCTGATGGTGTAAAACAAGACCTGGAAAGCCAAACCTGCCTTCCTTGATCGAAAGCTGCCCTGCTGCTCGAAACTTAATGAAGCAGGTTTACATTTTTGACATTTATGGAATGAGGAAATGCATGTAGGACAGTCTGAGATGGAATAGTATCATTAAGTGTATTTATCCCATAAACTTGATGTTAAGCAATGTCCATTGTTTCTATCCTGTCAGACCTCATTAGTCCACTTGTTTGGCTTTAAGTTAGTTTTTGGAGGTATATCTCAGGAGATAATGATTTCAAATAAATGAAATTGGGGGACTGAAATTGCCAATTAGCTAATATGCTATGTGATATACTTTCTTCCATTGGCATTACTTCAGACTCTGACCAGTTAATTGAACAGCCAGACATATTGCAAAAAATATTAATCAACTGGACTGAAGCTGGAATAGATGCCTAGAGTTGCAAAATAAACAGTAATAGATCATCCACATAAAGAATAATTTTAAATTCTAAGCAGTCAGGTATAAAGCTGTGAATGCTCCTATTCTGTCTACTGGCACTCCCCAGGGCTTTCAAACATACATCAGGCATCAATGGAAAAAATGGGCAAATAAACCCAGTTAGTCCTA